AGAGAAGCTATGGAGCAGAGAGTTCTTTGCCAGCCAGAGGTGATTTGTTATAGAGAGTTATTGCAGTGGGCAGGAATGTTTTCCACGTTACCTTACATTTACTGAGGCTTAGTTTGATTTTCTCTGCACTTAGTTTGGGACCTGATAACACTAATTTGACACAGTGCGTGTTCACCTTTGCTCCTCGACTTATCCTGGTCTGATAGATGCTCTGTCCTGGACCGAGTCACCAGCTCCACATTGGTGGCACTGTACACCTGGACACAAAGATAGAAAACACATTTTCTTTTACATATTGTTCAAGTTAAGTTCATATTAACATATTTGTGTGAGTAAGGGTAAATGAGACTACTATTCTGGCCAAAATGTATTACTTTGTTTCCTTCTCCCTTTGTGATATTTTCCTCCCTTTTATGTCAAGGAAAATAGATTAAGATAATGGTGAAGTTTAATTTTTTTGAATGCATTTTAATTGAGTGTTTTTTTGTCTACAATGCTGACGAATTAATGTTGACAGTCAATGTTATTGTTTAATAACTAGGGTGCAGTGAGTCTTGTCGTCATCCTGGATAAAATGGTTGCTGGCGAACATACAGTATCAAGCTTAAGCAAGTTTTCATCAAATTGTCTCTGCAGTGACTTACCTTGGCTTCGTACCCGCTGACCGCCTCACTCTTCTCAGAACGCCAGCCCCAGATCCCAGACTTGTTCCTAAATCAAATCAAATCAAAGTTTATTTATAAAGCACATTTATAAAGCACATTTAAAAGCGATTTTTGGTCGGGCCAAAGTGCTGTACATGTAATAAATACTACAAACACATAACTACAATCACAATAAAAGACAATAAATTACAACAGATATATAAAAAACACAGGGAAAAGTCAGGAGTCGTGCTCCGCTCTGACTAAAACAAGCAAAGAGATCATAGTAAGGGCTCACTGCACAAAGTCAATATTTGTGGGGACATGGTGTAATGTGGACGATAATGGGGTGTTTCCAGGCTGATATCAGGTGTTGTGGCTGTAACAATTCTAGTTTGTAGATGTGAACACAGTTTGATCTTGTTACCGTTCAAAGGCAATGTTGCGAGTGTTGAGGTGCGTGGAGACGATGGGCGATGTGATTCTCTGGGCTGTGTTCTCCTGCGACGGCTGCATGGCTGCCAGGAGGGAGGAGGCGTCACGGGGAGACAACACCAGCGGCTCAGTGTACACCACCTGCTTCTCATGGTCCACCTCCATCACCACGGCACCTTCATCTAAGAGGAGCACACGACAGACACATTTAAACCTCCAACAGGTTTGTTTCTACAGCTTTCAGGATGGCAAGTTTCCATGAAGGAGGGCACCTTCTCCCTTGAAGATGTAGCTGCGTCGTCCTTTCAGCCAGGTCATGTGTTCAAAGCCCAGGAGAGTGGTGTCCACTCGGAGGCACGAGCCGCTCTTCCACACCCGGTACACGTCACTAGGACACACCTTCGACACCAAAGGCACTGAGAGGGAGATCAAAGAAGAGGCGAAGCGGTTTAGAAACAAGAAACAAAGAGGCAAACAGAATGAGGTAACAACAGGGAATGGGTGAAGTACAGTGCAAAAGAAAACAGATTTACATGCCAACGTTTTCTGGAAATTGTATGGTGTAAAAACATTATGCTTTTATATTGTAAGACGCCCTTTTTAAGTCCTTCACCCTTGGCTTGCTTTGTGTTGGGAACTCTGGGTTTCTAGCGGTTACCATAAGAGGTAGACCTTCATTCTTGTTTCTGAGTGCCATGGATACACAAAGTATTTAACAACCTATAATGATTCAAAACACATAAAAGTAAGCAAAGATAAAATGTAGAACTGAAATTCTTTGTCATTTAATGGATTTGTATGTCAACTAGCTCTATACTGCTTTATTAAAGCAAACTGACTGGGACTTGAGTATGGTGAAATCATCAACAGTACAGTCTTTAAATGTCTTGCTCTAATTTATTAAAGAATATATGTGTAGTAAAATACCACATTGCATATATGTATGATCTTTCTTGCAATTACTGAATCACAATAGTACTACAATGTAAGAATTGTAACTGCTGCATCTTCTGCAGATTAGAAGAGGCAAAGTTAACAAACTCGACAAAACACATTACTTAATAATGCTGGTAAATATCCCTATAATAAAAACTAATTTCAGATAACACTTTAGAAAAGGTATCAGTCATCTGTATTGTTTTAAAGCTTCAAATGATCCTGCCCAGTCTCGTGTGTACCAATGTTTCAAAGTGACTGACAGCTGCTGTCTCGGAGCTGTCCCTGCACTGTGGTGCTGAACCTGACCTCTGTGAAACACACTCACCCCAACTGGTGAATTCCCACTTCATCTCCACATAGAAGTCTCTCGCCTGGAAAAGAAGAAATGTTAATGCTTTCTGGTTTAGTTGTGAACATGATGGAACAGTGCCTCAGTTTAAAGAGATTTTTAAAAACCCACCTGTACAGAGTGGCACTTGTATAAAATAATATAATAACATATAATGATGTTATTTGTTTTTATCTCACCATGTTTAACCACCTCCTTAACTCTATATTTTAATGCATTTACTTTGTAAATATTAAGTGTGTCTTTGTTTTGTTTGATGATTCAATATTATTATATACATTATTGTTTTAGAATTATACAAATACAGCTCTAAGGCGTGGTTTATGTGCTCTGTGCAACAGGCAAGACTTCAAGACCTGGAGGCTTACATATTTGAAAGAAATTGCCAAATGAAAGCGGTTTACCTGTCTTAGTTTGCTGAGCAGCTCTGGGATGCCCGCCAGTCTCTCAGTGGCCCGTTTGTAGTCTCGGTACTGAAGCATCAGCTGGACCAGCTCTGGGTCTCCGGTGCTCACCGCCTCCTGCAGAACTGAAACACACATCCACATGTAATTGCAGTAGGTGCTTCTTAAATATTAGCAACCTGAGGACATGAATCCAGCAGCCACACACTCACTGGTCCAGCCCTGTGAGTTGTGGTGTGTGGGGTCTGCAGAACCTCCCAGCAGCACCCGGGCAGACTCCAGGTGGCCCAGACACACCGCCAGCTCCAGCGGGGTGCGCCCTCTCGGATCCAGGCGCTCCACATCCTGCTGCAGAACCAAACACACAAGCAGCCTCAGCGCAATGCAGTGCATACTATAACAATAGCATCCGTGCACACACATCAGCTGCAGAAATACACCTCCTTACCTCTTTCTTCTGCAGCTCTCGATCGAGCTCCAGGTACTGATTGTTCCACACCAGAGCATGCAGAGGAAACCCTTCTTGTGCCATGGTTGACAGTTAACACAGTATAAAAGCTATGTGTGCAATATGACTCCTGCAGCCGACAGATTGCACTGACACCACAGCAGACCAGCTGATCGCCACAACTGGCTGGCTAGCTGGCTAGAAAATGGGTGAAGGCTGAAATACTTTACAGGAAAGACTGTCACTAGGCAGTTTATCCAATAACGTTGGGCATCAACAAAGTAGAGTTATGTGCGTGCCTATTTAAATGAGTGGGCTGAGTTAGCTCACCTAACTCAGCCCACTAATTTGCTGTAGTTAACTGACAGCTAGCTGAGCTAACGGTGGCTAACTGGCTAATAACAACATTGTTTCCTGCTCCACTTGACACCTGCTTTCCATTATTCACAAAGCAAGACAACTAATGCAGCCGAGCAGAAATGTACCTCCCAAGTCCGTCCATCTCTCTTTCACGCTGGGTTTAAGAAATAAATATGGGTGAAATCGCCGGCTGATAAAGTTAGCTAGCTCCCCCGCTGTCACTGCAACCACCCCTGTTTATATCGCAGGCATGTCACGCACGGTGTGTCAAAAATAAATCCAGATTCGGCCTTTATTCCACTTTCACATCCAGGTCAGCCGAGCTGAAGCCATCCCATATTGTGCAGGTGACAGTAGCTGCAGATAGAGACCAGTCCCGATCACTAACTCATCTAGCTGCATCGATGAAGTCTATTTACAGCTGCAGCAGCGTTATTTATTTATTTATGTACGTGGGCGTCGCTTTATTTCCAGGTTATGGAGAGACGCTGGGTGGAGCAGGGGAGGAGCTCATTCTGATCTGACAGGGCAAATAAATCAGTGAAAATCGAGCAAGAATTGGAGTATAATTTTACATTTCAATCGTGAAAAAGCTACTTTTATTTTTACTCATGTACTTAGCTGGAGGAATGATGCCATGTTATGCTAGCCTACTTCTACTCCACTACATCCCAGAAGGGCCTAAGAAATAGTCCTTACATTTACACATTATTGCATCAATAATTATTCAAAAATATAACATACCATTATCTTCAAATCAACATTATGCATGAGTACTTTACTACATGAAGTGTTTGAAGTATATTTGGATGCAAACACTTTGGAACTTTTACTTAAGATTTTTGGGTACCACTTTAGAATAAGACTACCCTTATAAAGGGTTTACGAATAGTTTGTCATTCATTTATTAATTAGGTTGTGAACACTTTATAAATAATTAATAAGCTTTTATAAGACATGAGAAACAGGGCAACTGTGACCGGTTGCTTGCCAAATAGTGAGCCCACATTTATCTGTACTGCTAAGTCTTATATTGGCAACTTAGCTTACTTCTTCATCAGCCAGCATCCTCGGTATCTGTTGTCCACTGAGTTGATTCTCGCTAAGTAGCCAAGATAAGGCTTAGTCATCTTGCCAAATAGTGAGCCTGTGTTGATGTATGAAAACTATGTTAGAACTGATTTATAAATGGTTCTTAATGATTAATAAAGTGTTTACAAACTAATTCACAACCTAATTATAAACCGTTTATGAATCCTTTATAAGGGTAGTCTTATTGTAAAGTGGTACCGATTTTTGAATGCAGGACGTTGAGTTGTAACAACTTCTACACTGTTATTACTTTTTATCTAAGAAAAATATAGTTGTTCTTCTTCCACCACCGCATTTTTGTGATAATAAGTCCGTGACCAGTTGTTTCTTTTTTTTTTTTTTATTGAAAAATAACACATAACATAAAGTGAAAAAAAGTATTCTGAAAATAATTACAATGCTACAGGAATCCCGTTTTGATAATCGAAAAGAGGAAAACACATTTACACAAAAGTATATTTTGATATACTTATTTTCATTTGAAGGGATATGGCCTGGAGAGCAGTCTGGAAAGAGGCCTTTTGATACAGAACCACTACACTTTATAACGGAACCAAAAAATGAGCAACCCAAGCCCCCAAACTAAATTGTACATCCCTACACTGAATTGGACAAGGTCATGAAGTTCAGAGAAAAGTAGATACTTGCACATTTTCATCAATGAAAGAAAATAAATGTATCAAAGAGGGATGGGGAGCAGTTTTATCTAGAATAATAACATTTTACTGTAAAGGTTGTCTCTGTACAAAAACAAAGCAAGTTTGGAAATAATAGCACCTGAAGTCTAACGTTTGTTTGAAAATGCACCGTTTATCCGACACCTAACCCTTGGCTCACTATTTAATGCAACCTGCCCTTTGCTGGGGGGAGGTGTTGTTGCCATGTCGATTGCCTTCTCACAGTCTTTTTACCCTTTTTACACAACCACATCCACTCAATGTCCATGTACACTCACCATGTATACCACTGAACTCCTGCTGCACCCAAATGCCTTTCTAAGCTGAACATACAAACACAAGGCATTGCAGTCACTCACTTTATAAATCACAAAGACCTGTCACCTTAAGTCGTCTTGAAAATAAAAACTCTCAACGCATAGTGGCTGTGCATGAAGCAGACGTCATACAACTTCTAAACATTTGCTCTCTTTGAATCTGACAAAAATAACCATCTATTTAGAGCACCCAGATGCAGCTGATGAGTTAAAATGATAAATGACATCATAAATAAGACTTAATGGGCATCATCCAAACGTAACAATGCGGTTATACCCCAAAGGTGAAACAAAAAAGTATTTCCCAAATAGGAATCAAGATGGCATCTGTCCAAAGAAGAGTTAAACTCTTGGTTATGAGCAATTCAATACAGAAAATTAATTGTCATCCCACTCCTGGCAAAAATAGACATTTTACTTTTCCAACACGACATTATTTCCAAAAATAACTGAAAAAAGCTGAGTTTACTGTTAAGGGTATATGGAACAAATGTATAGAAAGTTAAAGAAACTTTGTTTCAGCTTTGACGACCCTCTCACCAACACCAGTTTAGTGACTTTAGACCCCAGCCCTCCTCTGATGTGAAACAGGTGCTTGGTAACTTCCCTGCATGTCTGTGTCCTTTCTGTCAAACAGAATCACATCAGGATCTGCTGCCTGTGCAACTCGTATTGCCTCTGCAGTCACAGGACGCAGAGCCTAGGATATCCTCTGGATCAGTTTATCATCCGATAGGCAGTAGAGCATGTTGACTGACAGCTCGGCGATGAAGGCCTCACAGGCCTTTCGGGAGACGCCGTTACAGCCTCGCAGGTCGAGCAGCGAGATGCAGGCGAGGCGGCGGAGATACTTTAGACACGTATCGGACAGTTTACTGCAACCTGGGGAAGAGACAAGAACACAGGACCATTACAAATGATGCATGTGCGTCATCAACAGTCTCATATATCTGACTTTTCACTTGACTAAAGCGGAGACTTGTAAACAAAATTGTAGTTGGCCAAGAAAATTACAATTGGTGCATCTGTAGTTTAGTTCATAGTTTTGCATCTTCAATATGATCTATCCTCATGAATCTCTCACCTCCCAGGTTGAGTTCTGTGACGGTGTTCCGGGTGGAGGAGCCCACTGCAGTCAGCAGGTTGATGGAGTTGTCCGTGAGGTTGTTGCAGTGGGAGATGTCCAGTTTGGTTAAATGTGGCATGTGGCGGATCACCAGGCGCAGGGTGGAGTCGCTGATGTCCAGGCCGGCTAGACGCAGACACTGCATGCTGCGCAACTGACTGCGATTGTCACAACCTGGAAGAAGAGAAGAAGAAAGGCTGAGTTTTTGTCTTAAGATTTTGATAAAGAAAAGGGAAAAATTAGAAGAAAGAGTATAACGTAGGGGATAATAGGATGCAAGAGTTTCAGAGGCTTTCCTCACCTGGAGGGGTGACTAGATCCCTGATCTGAGAGTCTTTGACTCCGTCTGCATACCGCAGGTCAAGAGAGCGGAGGAGAGGGCACCCAGAGGAGCAGAGAGCGGAAATAGATAACCATGAACACCCGGCCAGCATCAGATCCTTCAGCCCTGCAAAACAAAGGAAATGTTCAAATACGGTGGAGGTAGGGCTAACACAAATTGGTAGAAAAATAAACTAATTCAAAATGCATCTGGTTGCAAACCAGATTTTATAAAATAAAAAAGTAAATATGTGATTTAAAAAAAAGTGTTGTAAGAAATATAAAGGATTTTTAACCATTGGTTGAAAATCAAGAGAGAGTGTATTTGACGTACCAGGAAGTCGGCCAACGAGCCAGTTGAGCTGTTTTTTAGAGATGTTGGTCCAAGAGAGATCGAGTGTGATTGGCTGTCTCTTTATGATGCCCGTCAGAGCCTGAGGAGTCACGGTGCGTTTGATGCTCAGGTCAATCCGGGCCCATAGCCGCTTGTCTAAACACCTACGAACAAGCACACACAGATTTAGGACACATCCATTTCAAGTTCTTTATCTGCAAAGCAATATGACCTACTGACACTACTTGGTTATTAATGCGGATAAACACCATGTCACCACGGAGTTTGCATTAGAAAAGATATTGAAAACAATTAAGAATGAAGTTTGTGACAACTGAAATCCACTTATCTAATTAAAATACTTAAAAAAAAATTTTTGACTTTCAACGTCTGCATGAAACTAACGGTAAAAATAACCGCAACTCAGAACAATCTGATCCCCTTTAGATGGCTGTTTTAATGACAGCCATCTAAACCTCAAACTACGACCTGAAGAAGAAATAAACATGACGAGTCTGTGAAATGATGTTTCCATTGTTCCATTTCTCATGAAAAAGATGATAAAATAATAAAAATATGTTAGCATTGAAGCTTAACGAATATGGATATTTTGCAAAACAGGAGCACGATACAGTGGAATCAGATATTATAACCCCTTCCGAATAAACCCCTATCATCTAACAGGTCTTACCATTTGTACCAGTTCTTGCAGACGGCCATGCAGACGCAGAGATCTGCTCGACTCAAGTAACGGAAGACAGAGACCCAGACCTCCCTCTCGCAGCCCGGCCCGCTGGCTCCGTTCTCCCTCTCCGCCTCGCCCCCCCCCCTCCTGCAGGGCGGACAGAGGGATGCGCAGATGTGGAAGATCGGGGGTCGACGAAGAGGAGGCGCCGTTGCTCAGTTTAGCCGGCCTGGTTTTCTGAGAGTCCTCCAGCCTCTCTTGAGTGTCTGTGTGTCCGCTCGGTGTGTGTGGGCGTGCGTGCTTACTGGAGTGTGGATCAGGACCGCGGTTCCTAATGGGGGGTCTGGCGAGGACTCTGCTCTGGTTGTGTATTGTGGAAGGGGGAGTTTGAGGGGAGATGGCTTCCAATTTGGGGACGATGGCCGACGGGTCCCGCTGGGCTCTGGTTGGCTTTTGGAGTGTAACTTTATGATTTGAGCCAGCTTTTCTCCCGATCTCACCGTCCTGCTCGCTCTCCTCCTCGTCCTCTTCTGCTCCGTTTTGGTTGGCCGCCTCGCTCAGGTCCTCCTCTCTCTCTTTGGCTGCCTCTCGCCTCGACTGTGGCTGGTTCTCCTTATCCAGCCCCCTCCCGCTGTTCTGCCCCTCTTCCTCGTCGCTGCTGGAGCTGCTGCTGTTGGTGCTGCTGCTGGTGCTGCTGTCCTCCGTCTCCTCCTCCAACTCTTCATGGCTTCTACCACTTCTCATGCCTCTCCCTGCTCCTCCCCCCCGCAGCCTCACCCCTCTCCCCCTCCCTCGGCGAGCCTCTCCCTTGGGCTCAAGTGCCAGACCGAGGGAAGACTGCTGCTGCTGCTGCTGCTGCTGCTGCTGCTGCTGCTGCTGCTGCTGCTGCTGGAAAGACCCCGTCCCCCCTGGAGAGCTGGGGTGAGGAGGCGCTCCGGCCCAGGTGGAGCCCCGGCCTCGGCCCTGAGAGAGTCTGCTGGTGGCGGTGCGCAGCCTGGACGGCAGCCTGGAGCACAGCGAGCGGGGGGAACGCTCCTGAGACGACTGCTTCTGTTGGGGAAACCAAAAAGGACAACAGATGAGAACAAGATAGTATATGCTTCAAACACCTAATTCAATAATAGAATCTGCTCAGCAGTATTGTCTCTGTTCACAATGACCCACAGCACCTGGAAATAACTAAGTGCCACATCGCAGCTGCAATGATGTTCAATTTCACAGTGCTAACTGCAGAGTTGACGAAGCAGACAAATAATCTAAAACTATTTTGATAATCAAATCATCTTTAAAATAGCTTGTCATGCAATACTGGCAGACAATCACCACATGTTCACCGACGAAGAACCCAGAGATTTCCTGCTTAACTCGGATTGAAATCTTATTCAACTGAAAATCTTTAGGACATTTAAAGAAACTTCTTGGACAAAGGATTTTATTTTGATGTAACAAGGAACAACAGTACTGTGGAATTAAAATATAATACGCAACATGACAATAGAAGTGCACTGCTTACCGTTAAGATTTTGCTGCGCTCTAGTTTTATCTGCAGTAAACAAAAAAGGGGTTGGGACAAAGAAAATAAACACACATTCACATATTTGTAACTGCTGTTAAGTCAAAGGAGGTGACTTGTATCTGCAGCATCTGTCCACCCAGCTTCAGGGTTAAACCACATTTTTAAAAATATGACTCGATAGATTTAGCTAGCTTTTGATCATTAAAACACCAACTTACCCTCTTCTTCAGTCTGAGCTCCAGTGCATTTGCTCTTTTCCGGTTCTGTTGATGCTGCAGGAGCAGCTTCTGAGACGGTGGGAGAGCTGTGGGTCGGGAGGAGGAACCGCTACGTGTCCCTCGTCTCGCCCCTACGCCGATGCCTTCCCGGAAGGCGCGTTTGATCGGTGGCAGAGCGGTTGAGCCCTCCGACTCTCCACTCTCCTCATCGCTGGTAGACTGGAGTGGGGGGGCAGGGAGAGAAGATAGGTGAGTATGGACATGAAACATATGAACACATGGTGTGGGAGAGTGAGTGAGTGAGTGAGTGAGTGAGGATATGCTTACCTCTGAGCCTGAGTCTTTTCCATGGTAACATTTGGGACATTCCCAGCAGCTGGGCAGATCGATATTGATTTTCCCTTCACCAGGCTCCTGAAACAGCAAACAGTTCAAATGTCTGAATCAGCACTTCAGACATGCGCATGCAGCTTTATAGGGAGCAAAACAGATCATGCTATAATTAGGCAGTGCATTCATATCAGTTTATAGCCTCACTGTTAGAAGCAGATTACCTTATTGCATTGACGATGGACTATCTGCGAGCACACAGAGCACTCCATCAGGGAGTGAGTGCTGGGATTTGATTCGTCAGATTCCCCTTCTGCACATATGGCACATCGCGCTGTGTTCGGTAAGGCAGGCTGAGGAGGAGATAAACGTTATTTACTCCAAGGTTAAAAATAATATAGTCCTTTTAGATATGATGTTGATAAACATTACTATGAATTCAAATTCTGAAATCCAATTAGGATTACCATTACTTTTGACATCATTTAATTTACTGTATTTAACTAGCCTGACATTGAACATACACACAGACAACTCACCGCTAGACACCGTCTCATGATGCAGCCCTTCTTCATGCGCCCCGGACCACCAAACTTCCTCATGTCGTGGCAGAACTGGCAGGTGCCGCACTCCTTCCTGCAGCAGGCGGCGCAGCGCTTACACCTGACCCGCCTGCGCCGCAGGGCGGAGATGGAGGAGCGCTTGATGGACCTCAGGGGCTTGGGGCCCAAGCGAGGACGGTAAATGACGGGGGGAGGGGGAGTGGGGGGCTGGTACCATGAAGGCTGAATGAGGGACATCAGTGAGAAAGTAAGGAAGGTAGGTTAGAATTATGGAAGCACTATACAAGGGAAATATGGACTTTCAGAACACCAATACTTTAATAAATATAAAGATGGTTTCAGTTGTGCTTTATACTGCTTTCAGAATTTAAAAAAAGTGAACTGCAATTTTCTCCTGACTCATTTGATAACAAATAGCAGGTGGGAATATATTATTCAACAATTTAGACTTATAATTGAATGTGGAAAAAGAAACAATATATGATGACATACTTCGTACTTCCAGCTACCTTCGAAGTGTGTAAACGTGTGTTCTGTACTCACCCTTTTGGGCCACTTGACGATGGGCTCTCCAGTGTAGGACAGTTTGGCGTCATCATTGACATGCCCCTTTAGAAGAGTCTGAAAAAGTGCAAAGGAGAAAAGACAAGTTTTAAGACGAAAAAATCAAATATATCTAAAGGTCCACATTAGCAAAGCCCCATGAAAGCAGTAGCATCCAGCGTGAGTTGATTGTGAGAGGAACACGGCTCTCACCTTCATGTCATCGAGCAGGGCGTCGGGGTTCATGATGCCCACAGGGACGCACTTCTTCTGCTCCGGCAGCCCCTCCAGCTTCCCCAAGAGGTTCCACAGCCCCTCCAGCTCAAAGGGAGTCAGCAGGTGTTGAGCTTCTGTCTCTTTAGCTTCCTCTTCGTCCTGTTCTTTGACCGCCTCTTCCTTTATCTCCTTGTTCTCAGTGTCGCTGTCGACTCCATTAGAGGTGCCATTCCTGTTGGAGTCAATGTTTTCCATGTCAGCCTTGGTCAGTCCTGAAAACAGAGAGGACACAATCGTTGAAGTTTATGTCATACTGTTACTATGTTCATTACTAGGTCTGTGTGCAAAAGAGAACAAAATGAGGGTAGTTGTGTTTTCTTGTGTTCATCCGTCCTCACCTACGCCCAGGGAGTATTTTTTGAACTCAGGAGTGAGATGGGAGATGTTGGTCTGACAGTAGAGGTATCTCTCCAGGACGTACCAGCACATCTCATAGTAAAAAGGGTAGCGGAACTTTGCTGGCACCTAGAGGAGGAGGAGAGAAACAGAAATGTCTCAAATGTTTTTCATGTGAATGTTTCGTGAAATACCAATGACAGAAATGTAAATGTAAACTATGTTTGTTAGCTGCTATATACCTACAAATCAAGTTACTCTTAAGAAGCTCTGAACCACGGGTGGTGCTCCAGCTGATTATTTTAGTTGTCGATCACAAAAAACTTGTGTTCTAACCCAATTCTGAAAATATTCTTGTTTCGTCTCCCACCATTGTCAACATGCATGACAAATCCACATGTTTCCTGAGTGTCATTCTTCATTTTTATCAGCTATATTAAGTCTTAGTAACTTACTCTAATTATTGTAATGAGTTCTACTTACCAAAGTATAAAGATTGTGAAATTGTGTGTTAGTGCTACTGCTATCGGATTGTTACTCAGTGTTGGCAGATGTCCTAAACTTATGATTTAAAATGTGTAGAGGTGAGAAATAAGTACAAATCTGTTCATGTTGTGTAGCTTGATTGGTGATATAATTCTTTCAACATGACTAGGTTTTCATCACCCGTGTTTTTCTATTCCGAGTAATTCCACAGAATAAGACTCTGAATCACGTCTTGCATAATCACAAGATGTGTGGCAAGATGTTGTGTATCCACAGCAGAATAAAAAGACCACAGCTGATGTGAGGCGCTGCTCACCCGTGTGCGATCCTCGATGCTGTAGATGTTGAGCTGCATGGGGATGTTAAAGCTGTGGAGGAAATTCCCCCCAAACACCAACGTGTCCTCTGGGGTGTACACAGCATGGATCCACCCTGCAACAAACAAGACACGAGACGCTGTAGCTGTGTAGTGCTCAAGTGTGCGTTTGGTTTTCGGGGTCTGTATGCGGCTCCCGTATTTTCTTTACATACCTGATGGGATTATGAAGGTGTTTCCTTGCTTGAGTTCTATCCTCTGACAGTCAAAGCACTTGTCCCCCAAGAAGATGTCTCCCTGTTTTCCTGATAACACCCAGTTCTCGTACATCTCCAGGTTCTGGGGTGTGGGTGGAATCAGCCAGAACACCTGTAGGGGTCCCAGGTAAAAAGGTCACGTTGATTGTCTTAGGTCAACATTTACATAAAGACACCGCCAGGGCACTCGTGTGCATTTAAAATCTGTGTAACAGAGACTAAATGTAATATAGAGTGAAACGAAATGTAGATGCTAAATACTACTAGACTAGGATTATTTTGCATCATAATTCTGAGCAGGGTGACTGGTAAATGGCTTTTTTCCTAGTGTGTGAAAAGCTCAGAAAAATTGACGTCATTCAGGAGTAAAAAAAACATTGCTTCCTTTCACCATGTAATATTCAAGTCGTGTGCGACAGTATTTATCCGAAAACTCAAAAGGCCGTTGGGTCACCACAGGCAGCCAAAACTGAAATGTATGATTTGTGTGCCGTGACACCTGGACTGACCTTTCCGCCTCGCAGGATGTGGTACCAGACGGAAGTGCCTCCAAAGTCGATGTGGAAATCTGTGAAGCAGCCCTGCACACTCATGAGACAGTACCTGAGAGGAGTGGAGGAAGCAAGGACACACAAGGTGGATTTGAATAACAGGATAAAGTGTTGAAAATAAAAACAGGCATTAAGAGACTATGAATTGAATCAAGACTATGCCTGCTGGAGGATATGATACGAGTAATGTATCCCAACTAAAGCAGAGCACATGTTGTATGTTTTAAGCCTCTGGTTTACTCACTTCTGCACTTTGGGATAATGCATGTCTATGATGGCGTTAGTGGAGTCTCTCTGTCTCTCCTTGAGATGGCGAGGCCACATGTTGTCCACCCAGTCAATGAGGTCCACCTGGACAAAAGGGAAAAAGGAAAGTTGTACAAAACATACATGAAATGTGTGCACTAAACTCAGACTGTGATAAGTGACTCTGCTTTATGCATGTAGGCTTTAAAACAGAGGAGAAATGATTGGGATAAATAGCTCTACTTTCTTAACTGAGAGAGAATTTTCTGGTAAATCATCTTGTTGTGACTTAAAGGCGTCAGAGTTCCAAAACGACATTGTCAAATGTGCACAACGGGGATGTTGTAAAACACTAACAAGTTCATATGTGTGTATTCTCACCGAAGCCGGCCGTTTGACCAGATTCTCCAGCTTGGTGTGGCTGAACTCCAGACTGATGACGTTGTAGAGTTTTTCTCTCTCTGATGGCGGCGTCTCATAGTAGCGTCTCCACTGAGCCATCGACATCTCGATTCCTTTCTGGGTGTTCACATCCATCACGTCAACAATTCGTCGACTTCCTGCAAAATAATTCATTGGAGTTCAGTAACAGTGCAAAAATGTATTATCCTAAAATATACAAAATACTCATTGCTATTGTGTGTATTACTTTTATATTGATTTGAATGTCTAGAAATTACAGCCTGAATATTGGGAGTTGTGATTGCCACTTTACAGTTAGTTTAGCATTTCCTTCATTTATATCTTGATACTTGCTCAAAGATATATATAAAAAGTGTTCAAATTGTTCTATAGGTCCAGCCCGTTGTGTACAAAGATGAAAGCCAATAAAGGGCATAAAATGGGAACTTACCGACAAACAACTTGACATCACTCACACTGAAATCAGAGTCTGGCATTCTGCAAGAGAGGCAAATCAAAAACCGTGTTATTAAAAAATAAATAAAAGAATCTCCAAACACAAACAGGTTAAGTGGGTTATTAGTATTAGCTTTGAAATAACTCACAATCAGCTAGAATACCTTTATATAAGAAAACTAATAACAAAGATATAGTTTTAGAGACAAGTAATGTGGCTTACTGTATGCCAAGGCCATTGGCTGCCTCAAAGATAATGGGCTCCCTGAGCCCTTCCCTCTGGATGTACTCAAATGTGAAATCTAGAAAAATCAAGCAACAGAGTATGTAAAACAAACAGTTAGCATGCATCATCTTTACATTGCATCAGACATGTTTTTTATTGAAATGATATCCCAAGAATATCTTGGATTAGTTTGAACCTCTCACCTTTTCCCTCCATGTGTTTGATCAATTCAGAGTTAAACCTGCTGCACTGCAGCTTCTCGTCCAGGTCGAACATCCGCTTCCCTTCAATTTCATCGTCTGAGATTCCATCGTCTTGGTAGCGGCGTCGCGTCCCTGTACGCTGAGGACAAAACACAGATTCTGTTAACCTCTAGATTAGACATGAGAAACAATAGTGAGCAACAGAAAGATAACAAGATAAGAGGACAGGAATAACTGGCAGGGAGACATGTTGGATGTTTTATTGCAAAAAAGATCATTCAGGGCCAGCTTGGTTAAAGAAGACAATCAGACACAGCAATGCTGATATGTAGATCACAAATATTTGAAGTAACAGACTAAAGACGTAATGATTTTCTTGGGAAGGAAAACAAACAACTAATATCAACCAGTATTCAATGAAAAACTAATGAGTGACTGTTCTTTTGTGATATCTAAGCCTCATAAATGGCTTACTTTTCACTAGATTGGGCTATTTTTACTGAACATCCTAACTGAGAAAATAATGTTGAACATGTATTTTGGTTAATAGAAGCTTACAGTAATTATAATATATAGTTACATAACTAAATAATACAAATAAATTATTCTAACCCGAACAATGGATTCTTCATTTAAAAGTATTCACTTTCTAGAAAGATTATTTGGAATTAAATTAAAAAATTAAAAGGTAGGTTTGAGCTGCAGGTTTTTTAACAAGATATTTGTAAACATTTTCCTAAAAAGGACTATTAAATGTCCTTGAATTTTTTTGTGTGGAAATGTGTTAAAATTCATTGCATGGGTTAGCTGCTTTTAATTAATATATGATATGACTCGGTCGTCATTAAATAATTCATTACAAAAAACCAAAATGGTATGGAATGACCCTTAATGCATTTAAAAAATGTTCTTGTTTAATTGGTTAGATATGAGGTGACACCCAAGGGAGCTGACCTCAATATCTCAGTGGTAAAAGGGATCTCAAATTAGTGATAAACTAATGCTTTCACAAGTCACAAATAATACATCCAAACAGATCATTCAGCCAGAATACCAAATCAGTTCATGTGGTAACTAAACAATACAGCATCACAATAGCACGGGTTAATCTTCCACACACTGACCCCCCTCTTCTGCCCGCCTGCCATTCAACCTATGCAGCACTGCTTGGCTAGACAGATGGATAAAGGACAACACCCCCGCTCTCACATCTCCCCACCCCCATAGCACAAATGTGGTATTATCTAAACTCAAGATACTCCTCACTATCATAACTGAGTTTAAAGACAATAAGATGCAACTGAAAACTATTTTATAAGATTAAAGCCACCAATGCTGATGTTTCCATATAAAGTAATAAAACTGTCAAAGGAAATCAAAAAAATGCAATTAAAGGAACACTTTATGTGGGCTTTTATTAGGCTTCTGTGTGTTCAACAAATAAGCCTAGACATGATTTCCATAACTAAATCCACACTGGTAGAATTAGCTTTATTATATTTAGATATGCATCATTTTACCCCCCCCCACACCACTACAATCAATCATATTTCTCAGAGTACACAGTAGGTAATTTTAAAGCACTGACTTAATGACTTTACAACCATGGAAAAAGATAGTAAGGAGGTGAAACAGGGTATCACAGCACAGTTAAACAGTGAACTTGACCTTCTGTTGAACTCTTTAGACAGGTTCATTACTGTTGTTATTAGGGTGGCACACAAAACAAAAAAGGGACCACTACTGTCATTACCCAATGTGCCAAAATAAATTAGTCCACACAATCAAATACAATGGTTTACATCCACTAGACTTACTTCATGTAGGCATATTAAATAGGGTATCCTTTCACACATGATGATGAAAACCACACACAACATTGTAAACACAGAACAAGTGTTCCGGTAAGCTAACAGTTTGGTTAAGTTACTCACCAGGCGTTTGCTATACCGTGTATGAGGGTCCTCCATGATCTCTAGAAGAGAAACATAATGACGTTAAATTACACCGATGGTCAATCAGCGTTCAAAAGTTTTCCTGTGTTTTACGTTTTGTCGGACAGAAACACACACCTCTCTCTCTCTCTCTCTCTCTCTCTCTCTCTCTCTGAGAAGCTAGTTAGCCGTTAGCCGAGAGAGATGCTAAGCTAATGGTAGCAGCACAACATATTTACGTTAAACTTGCATTTCAGTATGAAGACAAGTGCCAAATATAGCAACTACCTTTAAACTGGGATATTCTCCACCAATGTGTCCATGTAAATAATAACGTTATTCCACTGTCGTTATCGGCTAACATAAACTACAACAGTTGACAAGCCCTTTCTTAAGTCCTCGGCTAACGATAGCTAGCTAGCTGACGTTAGCCTCTATACGGCAGTTGGTGGCTTCTTTATCGTTACCTCTGCGTTCCAACTCCCGTTAGTGGTGAAAGTAATGTCTCCCAGCTAAAGGGTCCGCAGCCCTTCAGCAAAGTCTCTCCCCATGTTATGCGATAACAGCTGAGTATACTGTTGTGTTTATTATTGTGTGATAAAGTTAGAACGATTCGACGCTTCGAGCCGCCATTTTCAGCTGGTCAGAAAACACACATACACATACACATTAAGTAAAAAAAAAAGCTCAAGGCCCACCCCCCTATTTGCCTCACTGCTACAGAAATTAGCATAGGGACACTCTCATTGGACAGAACATGTGCTATTTAAACATGATTATAATATGTTTATACAAGTGTACTCGTTTTATCTTCCACTGTCTGGCGGTTCAAGAGTGGGGTGATATCTATTAAATTATAACTCCGTTAAAGGTGGGGTAGGTAAGTTTGAGAAACCGGCTCGAGATACACTTTTTGTTATATTCCATGGAATGCTCTTAACATGGAATACATATTCACTATAATAACTATGAATATACTCCACTTCAAGGTACTGCATTCAGTAGGCTAGGCCTTCAGATCGTATTTGCAATATAATGTAGGCTACATGAAATATCAGAACTTCCTTTTCTTTTTCTGTGTTATTGGATAGTTAAAAATAGCCATTGTAAGCAATTAAGCAATTTCTTGCTTGTACCCTGTGAATTTTTTTTATCATGTAGGCCTAGGCCTATTTATTTTTCTAGAAAAATGCTTCACACCATGTGTGTATTAAAATAATGGGTGCTATTGTACTGTACTGAACCTCCATTATTAACATATCTATATGAAACGTTTTATAGTGTATATTTTTTTGATTGTATCATGTTTAATCTTATTTCATTTTAATTGATCACTGTCAATGTTTTTTCTTCGCTTTTTTTTTTACCCTTGAGCTGCTTTTCTACAGTGTATTTCTACAGTGGATAAATACAGATGTTGGCTTATCTGAATGTTGTACCTGGCTGCTATTTCTTTACATTTATATTGACAAATATAGCCTAATTGTAGATTTTTGCTTAGGTTCAATGTGTAATTATGTCATTAGAAGATAATATTATTTCTTCGTATTTGTTCATGTATTTCCACATATTATTTCTGGGTACATAAATGCATAATAAAAACAAATGCATATTTCACAAAATTAATGTACTAGGATTCATATGTGCACTGTGGTGTTTTTAATTATAACCTGCTACCCTTCTTGTCTGTTCATGTCCTGATGTAATGCTTATGTTCCTTCTGTGGATCACCGTGGATGATTTAATCTAAATGTATCACTGTTTTCCAATCCTAGTTATCCTCCACACGAGAAGCAAGAAAACAAGCGCACCCTGGAGTAGACCCCGCCCCCACGGTGCACCGAGCCTGCATCTGGTTTGGAGGAACAGTGAGATGGGGGATGAAATGAGGTCAGGGAAGCCGTTCATGCACGTTATGTCTTGCATCGCCATACATTTCCTGTAGCTTATCAGATCAAGTAAAATATGCTCTGAATGGTTTTGGGGGAGAGGAAGCCATGCATAAAGGCTGAATGCAAACCAACAGAAGAAGTGAAGCAGACACCGACACTTGGTACAACGCACGGAAATCTTTTATTACATAACAGGCTTTACTGGGTTTACACACTAGCCAGTGAGCGAGTGGCAGACGCTGTTACAGAAACACAATCAGTACAAGCATGTCAGCAGCACAGATTCATACAGACAGATCACACACACAACGAAATCACACACAATTTATTCAAATTATGACAACAATAATTCAGATAATACTACCTAATTGGATTTTTTTTTTTTGACCAGAGCATGATTATGCATAAGCATTAATGACATTTTGGTGCCAAATAAAGCCACTACAAAAAAAAATGTGGACTAAATCCTGCAAATTTGACTGAATCCTTATAAATAACTTTCAGATAATATATAAATATTGTGCACCACCAGGAGGCGACAGACTAAAGTCAACCATAATGGTCCAAAATGTCACATGTTCAGCCATCTGGTTATAAACAGGCAGACTTGAGAAAATTCTACACATTTACCACACGTTTTCAAACACTTCATACAGCGAGAAAATTATTTAAATTCAAATGATTAAGAAAAAAGGTAAGTGCACAGGGCTGGTATGGTTCAATTTCTCTTTTTTTCTAATACTTTATTTGATTTTTAGAGAGATTCAAATAATGGACGGGGTAAAAAAATAGGGGACCACCTCAGGAAACTTGCTTTTTCTTGACAATCTCTTACCTAGAAACACTTCACAAAGAACAAAGAAAACACTTCAATTTCAACTTTTAGTGTGACTTTATAGGGTAAATGCTGATGTAAGTTGGTTACCTGTGTACAAGCTTTTATGAGAAGAAGCTGTAGAGATAGGAGAACCCAACGATTCCAATGATGGTACAGCACAATGTTATCATCATCTTTTTCTGTAGAGTTAATAAGAAATACACAATTATCAGACAGCTGCAGCCCCAAGAATAAGGTTTTAAATAACATTCATTGTTCACATTCATGGGACAACTGGTTTGAAAAAATGATTGAGCCAAAGGAGAACAAAGGGGCACAGATATTTGGGTATGTGTGTGTTTGTGTGTAGAGAGAGGAAGGGTGAAAAACTTACCTCCTGTTGGAGACTTGTTGTGCACCTTTAAAAACTGTACTTTGCATCAAAATGGTTAACATGCTGCATCAACAATCTGCTGACAACAGCGACTACAACTCATCATAAACATACACTGCTCTTCTATAACATGCAATCATCAAAAAGTTTAAACATTGTTAAATATTAACCTTCTATCAACCACAAAGGGACATGCATGATATAGCAAGGAAACACAAGTCAACCAAGTCATTAAAAAACATAAAATCTTTAATTTTGAATAAAATCTGTGGCACTTTAATTTAACACAGTGAACAACGGCTTTAGTTTTCTCCTCCTGCTCTTATTGCAGCCCATGCCGATGGGTAAAGTGGTGTGGGAATAAAAAGGCTTGAGCAGTCGGAGCAGTAGGATTTAACAGTCGAGGGCAGAAGCCAAAAGAGCAGACTGCTCGGTCAAAAGACCAAGCTGGGGAGGCCTCTCACTCTCAAGAGCTACCTCCCTGCACAACCAGAATTAAAAGGAACCATTCAGGCAACAGAAACAAAGACTTCCCTCATGAATGCCAGCCCTCATAATGCGTCGGACATTTACCCCTGCATGTGGTCAATACCTGTTGATAGTGAGTGGAAACTGTGTCTCTGATAGTCTGTGTGCACAGCCTGAATCACCTGCTTTAACTGCCATATTAAAGCTCTGGGTGATTACATGCGCATGGTGGTTCAATAAACTCTCCTTTAGACACTCTACCGAGATAAAAACACCTAATGAAACGATTGTGACAAACCAGAAATAAAATATGTTGCCAGTTTTAAGGTACACTCAGCTAAAAGTAATGCATTCGACAGCCCTGTAATAAATCTCAACTTCATTTGGTTTAGATTAAGATATATAAGTACTCATTTTCATAATTTCACCAAGCTTGTTTGTCTGTTTGTCAGTAAGACAATGGAAAAAGTGCTGGTTCAGGAAACTTAATGAAAGGCTTGGACATTGGTAAAAAAAGAAATATAAAATTATAAAAATCAGACATACAAATAATTTTCTTTTTTGTTAACATTGCGAGGTAGGACATTTGGCCTTGGCAGAGGTCTGTGTTCTCCAAATGCCCTTCTAGTTATATATAGGTTTGGTTTAAACTGTTGCAGATATGTGTGGATTCAACCTAATGGTCTCTTTCAAGGTTGGGTTCAGTTCCTCAGAAATGTAGTTTAGTCTCTTTGTATCAATGAAGTCAGACTTGTTTAAAAGTTCATGAGAATAGGATTGATCACAGGGCTGTTGTGGAATGCAATAGTTTTAAATGTTGGCAACTGACGTGTGGTTTTACAGTAGAAATATATGGACACCTAAAATATGCCAGGAAATGCTAATCCCACTGGTGAAGTGCGACCAGTCAGGGAGGCCTCACTGACCATTCACACCATTAAAAAAAGTATAATAAATATATTACTATGACTTACTTATAAGACTATTCTGCACTGAAATGGAAATATCTAGGGTCACTATAAGTCTCATTGGCATTAAAACATAAATGTTTTTACAGCTCTTCAACAGGAGAGAATCAGCTCTCTCTATGTAGGAGGTCAAGATGGTCAACATTGTAGCGGGTTAACAAAAATAAACGAATATTCAGGCATTTCTCCAAGACGTAGCAGGGTTTGGATAAGTCTTAAAGCACTGGATGCGTGTTTATCTACCTAAACTGTCTTTTATTTGCTCATCTTAGCTTCACCTAACCATTACATTTGTTTGCATAAGCATCATCCTTCATTTAAAAACACCAGAACCACTGGGCTCTACAAACTCAAGAATCACAAGTGAGCACACCGATCCTCTTCAAGTTAAAGAAACTAGCCAAAGAAAGGGTTACATATAAACAACACAAATAATAATAATATTATTATTCACATGATCATCCGAGCTTCATTACAGAAAAATAAACAAATGTTGACATGTGAAAGTGCTGGAACTCCCCCCAAACCCAATAAATCCAAATACAGTGAACATACAGTAGCTAGCTTTTAAATCACAAAATGTGTCAAGGCTCATAAAAAGGCAAGGAATAATGATAAGGGAGGTGATGTGCTTCTACAGGGCTTCACATGGGTCCAACCTACTGGATGTTTAAAATCAATTTCAGATGAGGAACACGTCCGGGCTGATTCTTTGGTATCAAATGTTGGACAATGACATGTTTAGTTACGCTAAAGTGATCAGTTAATTTTCAATTCTCCTTTCTCTCCTCCATAGAAGTACAACAGCTATTGCACCTCATGTCAGCGTCAGTCTTATTTCCTCATTTGCAGCAGAGCATCCTCAAACTGCCAAAGCAGAGTGGGGTCAAACAGACCCTCACTGACAGGCAGTTCTGATTGGCTAAAAAGTCTGCGTAATTATAACAAGTCTCGTAGGTCTTCTTTCTTTTTTTTTCCAGAGGTCAAATATAACACTTGTCCTTCTGTTTTTATAAATATTATCTTATCCATATAGAGTGATCAGCATTAGCTTTCTCTTTGTGGGGCCAGTTGATGGGAGGACGAATGAACTGATGATGGCAGAAGTCCTTTTA